AAGAAAAATACCATATTCCACTCATATGTGGAATCTAAAAAAAGAAAAAGAAAAAAAACACTAATGCACTCATTTACAAAACAGAAACAAACTTGCAGGCATAGTAAACAATCTTATGGTTACTGGGGGAAAGTGGGGAGGAAAGGATAAATTTGGGAGTTTGACATTTGCAAATGATAACCACTATATAGATTAAAAATAGATTTCTTCCGTACAGCACAGGGAACTGTATTCAATATCTTATACTAACCTTTAATGAAAAAGAATATGAAAACAAACATATGTATATATATGCATGACTGGGACATTATGCTGCACACCAGAAATTGACAAATTGTAACTGACTGTACTTCAATAAAATAAATAAATAAATTTTAAAATTAAGGAAAAAAACAAAAAAAACCCCCAAAACTAAAGATTGCTGAATGTGAAGGTCCTTGCCATCTTCCTCAAGAACCCTGGCAGTGAGACCCTTACTCTCCAGGCCAGAGATTATAAAAATCTTCTCTAGGGAAACTGATCACTCTCAGAGACAAAGAGCCCAACCATGAGACTCCAGGCTAACACGCCCACCCATGTGCGCAGAACTTCTTAGCGTTTTAAAGTCCCTTAAACACAAGAAGCAACCCAGGATTCTCTGAGGAAAACCTGTGACATGAAAAACAGAAACCAATGCTGCCCCTTCTTTCCCCCCCAGAAAAGGAAATCTGGAGGAAACAGCGACTTTGTAAGAGGAAACTTCAAAAATAAATACCTTTGATATACTCAGAAAGAAAGAATAGACATTTATCTGTGAAAAAAACAACCAGATGTCACAAAAAAGGAACAGTACTAAAAATTGTAATGCTATAACAGTTAAAACCACAGTAACTGAAATGGAAAACTTAGCTGAAGCGTTGGAAGACAGAGTTGAGCAAATCGTTCAGAAAGTAGCAAAAGTAAAAGATGAAAGAAAAAAATTTTTTTTAGGTTTTAAAAAAGTAAGAGGACCAGATCAGAGGATCTCATGTATAAACGACAAGAGTTCCAGGAAGAAAAAGAAAACAGAGAAGAAGATATTAATGGGATATTTCAAGAAACATTTCCAAAACTAAAATAAATAAATTTCCAGTATGAAAGAGCCCATCAGTGTCCACAACACTGGATGGAATGGGACCCACAACAAAGTACACCACTGTGAAAATTTAAAACACTGGCATCAAAAGGAAGACTCTACAAGCTTCCAGAGTTAGAACAGGTTACCTATAAAAAATACAAATCAAAATGGCTTTGGATTCCCCAAGAGGTGTTTGGTGACAGCGGAATAACGTCCTCAAATTTCTCAAGGCAGGATATAAAGCTATAGATAGTATTATTCCAAATTTATAAAAAAAAATAAAGAAATCAATGAAGCGGAAACATATTAACTAGGCGATATCCAGAAATGTGAAAGCGGTTTCCCTGGGAAATGAAAGAAAAGGAAATTAAAATTTTTATTACACCTCTTTTTTATTTTCTAAATTTTCTGTAATAAACATGTGCCCCCTTTCTAATTAGGGGAAATGTTATTAAAAACTAAAAGAGCGGTGAATAAAAAGAAGGCCACGCTCAGAGGAACCAGGACTTGGGTTTGAGCCTGACTCTACGCCGTGTACTTGCAGGAGCACAGATGAAGTCTCCAAACCCTCTAAGTCCATCTCCTGGTCGGTGAGACGGGGAAAGGGAACAGCGCTTACAACAGCTGATGGTTGCAGAGGGTTCTGATAACAGCCTGCTGGGGGCATCTAAGCCGAGAAGAAGCAGGTCTGTCCAGGGTGCGTGAGGAGCCCCGCTTGGCAGAAGAGAGAAGCAAAGGCAGGCGAGAAGGGGCAGCTCAAACAGGACCTTGAAAGTAGGACTCAAGGGTTAGGGTTTGTCCTCTGGACAAAAGGACACAAGGAAACCAGTGGCGATTTTAAACAGGGAAGAGATGGGATGGAAGCAGTCTTAAAGGAGAAAAATCAGACTGCTGACTTAGAGGTTTGCTAAAAAAAAGTTACGGAAACCATAGCAAATGATCATCTACTGTCTTATTATAACTGAGTTTGAAATGCAAACCTGCTGCAGAAAGGGGACAGCTCTACCGGGGGTTAAGGGCGTGCCCTGGCGGGGTCTCCCCAGTTACTGCAGCTCCAGCAATGGCCACTGCGCAGACCTCCACGTGCCTCCCTGCGTCCAGCCACTAGATGGCAGTGCTTACCCTTCGTTTAGCAGGATGCCAGCCAACCAGCCAGCAGACTTGGGCTCTGTCCCCCGAGAGTGTAATACACACACAGACACCTCCCTGTAATTCCCACTGTAACTTCCTGTGGGGAGGAAGCAAAGGAGAGGCAGCGAAAGCCGGGGAGGAAAGCAGGGTGGCCGGCCTTCTCTTGCAGGAAGACCAGACGGCAGTGAGAGACACGCAGTTCTGAGTTCCCAGGGGTCTCCCTGCTCTGGGGGTGAGAAGCGGTCTGGCCACAGAGCGGGGTCCCAGAGGGCAGGACCCAAAGGTCCTCTCCATAAAGCAGGTGCCACGGGGCAGGGCCGGCGCCGGCACTCACCGGGGGAGGGGCAGGCTTCCTCGTCTGAGCCGTCTGCGCAGTCTCGGTACCCGTCGCACACCCAGCTGTCCATCACACAGGCCCCGCTGCTGCAGCGGAAGTAATTGGGCAGACACGTGGAGGGCCCGGGCGTAGGGGAGGGAAGGATATGTGAATCTGGGGAAAACACCAAGCAAGGAAACCCAAGATGTTACAAGGAGCATCGCGGATCTCAGACCAAAACTTGACCGAACCCCAGTACGCACGTCCCAGGGTTAGCGGCGCCAGCTGGGGGAGGCCAGCGTCAGGCCCAGTTCTGGACAGCGGCTCATCTAAAAGTCATGTATGAGGGGGCGTCAGAACAGACAGCATTCCTTCCCCTTTTCTGAGGCAGACTCACTTTACTGTGATATTGGATTGGGGCCAATACCTAGATGAGTTTGCTTTCACAGGGTCTCACGCAGGCTGGGGGAAGAAAGGAGACTCAGAATGCAGAGGGCGGGTGGGAGAAGGCCTACCGAGGCCAAACACTGCTGTGGTTAACTCCAGCACCACCACCCCGAGAGGCGGCTCAGAGAGGAGAACACCAGAAAGGAAAGGTGTGCCCCTGGCACGTGTCACGCACATGTAAATGTAGCACAACACACATCACCCAGAGACCCTGTCAAAATACAGACCCCGCGGGAGGCGTCCGATGGAATCAAAGATGGCACTTCTAACAGGGAGCTGCAGGTCTGCACGTCTGCAGACCACACTCACTCGGAGGAGCCCCTGTGCCCTGGAAAGCAGGCCCCTGGGGACAGGAGGGACCAACTGCACTGATTTCCCAATGGGAGGGGGGTAAAACTCACTCAGAATTACCCCCTAGCCCAAATCACCACCTAAGCCAGGCACTGGAGACTCGCTGAATGCCGTGGGGACGGTGGGAAGACTCCAGTGTGTTCCAGCTGCGGGGCTGGCCCGGGACCCTCACCTCCGCAGTCCTCCTCGTCAGACCAGTCCCCGCAGTCGTCCTCCCGGTCACACTTCCACCTGCTGGGGATGCAGCGGCCATTCTCACACTGGAACTGGAAGTAGTGGGAGCAGTTTGGGGCCTCCGTGGGGTTTTCTGGGGAGACAAACCACATGGCTGGTCGGTCGTCTGACCTGCCCGGGTGTAAACACAAAGCTCCGGGGACACGCCCCAGAGTCCCGGGGCAGCCCACGTGACGCTCCCAGAGAAAGATCGGGCAGCTTCTGGGACCCAGTGGGAGACAAAAGCCATATCCACGAACTCGACCAAAGCCTGCCCTCCTGGATCCCAAACCATGTTCCCTGACCCGCGTTTCTACAGCTTGCAAACAATGCCTGAGTTTCCATCCTGACACATGACCAAAGGGAAGACCTAACTAGTGATGATAACCGGAGGGTGACAGTGACTCTATTTCCTCGTGGCCTCTGTAACCATTAGTGGGGAGGGGGGAGCACTCCAAAATTCTTAGCATAATTCTCCTACCGTATTCCTTATACATAATGTGAACTTCCCAACAAGGGAAAGAAATGGAAATGGAAGAACCCCCCACCCCGACACCTGCTAGGGGGCAGGTTTCTGCTTCAAGACTCAATTCCTCTCATGCAGACTCAAGAGCAGGCAGGAGCCACGGCTGAGGAGGGAGAAGGTCAAGCCAGCGTGGGAGGGGGCCGAACGCCCCCCTGAACCATAGGCGCCATGGAACCGAAGATGGGACTGAGCGCAGGCAGAGCGCGGTCTCCTTACCACAGCTGGCCTCATCAGAGTCATCGCCACAGTCGTCCATCCCGTCGCACTTCCAGATCAAACTGATGCACACTCCGTTCTGACACTGGAAACTGAACTCATCACACACCGTGTGGAACTCGGGGCCTTGGGCTACAGAAGGAGCAAACATCGCAAAATCCAGGTGACTTCCGTCCTGAAGAGTTCAAAGTAGCGACACTGTTTGTAAACCAGAGGAGAGAACAGACGGCCTCCCCCGAGAGACTGGCCGGCCGACGGGGTCCTCGAAAGCAGAAGTCAGCTGAAGGCCTGGCCTTGGCAACTCAGCATGTGGTGGCATTTGGGGAAGAGGCCTTTAAAGGGTTAATTCCACTGAAATAAGGTCATGAGGGTGGAGCCCCATCTAACAGGACCGGTGTCCAGACAAGGAAGGTAAAGTTGGGCCCAGAGAGGAGCAGCAGGAAGACCATGTGAGGTCACAAGGAGAGGACAGCCACCGCCAGGCCAGGGAGAGAGGCCTCAGCGCAAAGCGACCCTGCCGATGTGTGGCCTCGGACTCCCAGGCTCCAGAAACGAGAAAACACATGTCTGTTGTTTAAGGCCCCCGGCCTGTGGGTGCCCGCTGTGGTGGCCCGGGAGAACTAACACAAGTACCCGCCACGCGCAGGGCAGTTTGGGAGGCGGGGCTGCAGCGGCGAACAAGACACAGACCGGCCCACGTGTGACGACCGTTCCAGCCGGGGGAGACGGGCTGCAAGATCAGTGTGCGCAGGGGACCTCAGTGCAGTGAAGACACTGGAGCAAGGGAAGGGGCCACTCAGGGACGGGGCGTCTATGGAAGAAGGTGACACCCGAGCCAAGATCTCGGTCGTCCTTTGTCCTCTCTTTTATCCAGACACCAAGAGCTGACACGCATGCTTCTGAAGCAGCAAACGTGAGTCTTCCTTAGAAGAGGCAAGACTGGACACTCAACAGAGACCTATAAACCAGACCAAGGTGGCCCACCCCCTTGGATTCCCCAGGGCCCGAGAGCGACCACCCCCTCCCCACTCACAGCAGCCAGCGAATGCCACATCCTCATCTGAGCCGTCGCGGCACTGGACGATGCCGTCACACACCATGGAGTGGAACAGGCACTGCTGGCGGTTCTTACACACGAAGTCCATGAAGCGAGTGCAGAGGGGCTCTGGAAGGGTCCAGCGAGGAGAAGAAGCCATGAGCACCTGGGTCTGGGAGCCTCGCAGGCCCTGGGAGGGTGCACCCTGGCCCGATGCGCATTCAGGAGACGGCAGCTAACGGGCACCGTCGCTGAGGCGTGCTGTGTGCCAAACCCTGAGCTAAAGCACCTGACGCAGAAGCACATCGTTAAGCCCTCAGGAGAGCAGCAGGAGAGGTTTTATTGTCCTGTTCTCCAAGCGGAGCACGGGGGATGGAAGGTGGCATCAAGTATGTTGCTGAGAGCACACAGCTGATGAGGGTAAAGCCAAAACGGAAGCCCAGAGCTGTCTGACGTCAACTCCCTGATCTTATCACTCTTAAAATAATGCTGACTCTCCAATACAGGGGTCGGCAAACTTCTACGAAGGGCCAGTGTCATGGACTGAACTGTGCCTGCCCCCCGGCTTACATGCTGTATATTTGGAGACAGAGCCTTTAAAGACATAATCAAGGTTAACGGAGATAAATAAGGATAAAAAGATCAGCAGGATGGGTGTCCTCAGAAGACGAGGCACCAGAGATGCAGTCACAGAGACAACGCCACGTGAGGACCCGAGAGAAGACACCTTCAGACCCGTCCCTGGGTCTCCAGCCAGCTGTTCTCAAGGTGAGTGTTACTGACTCACAACCACCTTTCTGGGTCTAAAGAAAACTGGGGATAGAAAGGGTCACCCGGCCTGAAGATGCTACCCGAGTGATAATGAGCAACACTAATCGAAAGAATAAAGTGGGAGAAATAAGTGTCCGGTTCAAAACCGTGGGTCGGTTCATAGGACACACAGCAACTGAACAGTGGTGACCACTAACTGTGTCCTAATTCCACCATCGCTGGCCACATACCCCTTCTCCTTGCTCTCCCTCACCCACACCAAGCCTCCCTGCTGTGGCCAGCCTCTCGGAGTCCCAGTCAAGCACCCAGGGTCACCTAACCGCAAGCAGGTACTGAGGAAGTGAAAGGGTATAGTCCAGTGTGCGCTGGTCCCCCACCTCGGCCAGGCGCCTCCCGGGGGCGGGGCCGGGGGCGGGGCGGGGCGGGGCCTCACCGCAGTGCTGCTCGTCGGAGCCGTCGGAGCAGTCGTGCAGACCGTCGCAGTGTTTGCTGGACGGGATGCAGGTGCCATTCGGGCAGCGGAATCCATTGCACTTCTTCTCTGAAATGGATTTCAATAAGAAGGATAAGGAAACAGGCAGGCACTCATGTCCACTGTGGGGGAATCTTTAATGTGTACCACATCCACAGGCACAATCCGTCAACAGCTATCACAGTTGCAAATGGGTACACACTGGGACCCGGCAATGGCGCGTTAGAAAGGCAGTCTACCTAAGCAACTGGAAAATAATGTAGGTCCAAGGTTATTCACTGCAACACTGTCTGTAACAGACCGAAAACCACCTACATATCTATCCATCAATGGGGGGCTGCGTAATAAACTACCGTGCCCTAGAACGCTAGACTGTTACAAAGGGACCGAGGAAGCACTCTGTAAAAACACGTCCTCGATACAGGACACGTGATAGGTGGAAAAAAACAAGGTACACAACAACGTGCGTAGCATACTACTTGTGTAAAACAGGACAAGAGTATGTAGTATATTAATATTTCTACATACGCACAAAAATATTCTAAAAGGAGTAGACCACAAAGTGGGATGCTGGGCAGATGGGGAGAAAAGCATTTACTGTTTACCTTTATATACTTTTTCCATTTTGAACTATGTGAATGTGTTATCTACTCAAAAAATTATTTTTTTAAAGAAAAGTAGAAGTGGGTAGAAAAAAAGAAAAATATGAATTCCGATTATAAACCCTGATTTTTTTTAAAGCTCTCTGAAATCACTCACCATCTTAATTCTTCAGGAATTCTAAACCAAAGCCCTTTTGGAGAAAGTTTGTCCCAGAAATGTTAAGAATCTTAGGTTTCATACTTAGCACAGAATCCTGAACACCGGGTCACCCTTTCTCCTGAGCAGGAAACTACTGCCGGACATTAGGCTTAAAAATCACTCTAGCAGGTCAGTTGCAAACCCATCTCCTGGCAGAATAGCTCCAGGAAGATGAGGTATAAGGCAAGAAAATGTGTTTTAATCCTGTACAAAGTCATCATTTCTGGAAGATTAGCCAAAAGACATCAAGAACAGTAAGTGGGTGCCGTGAGTTGGGGAAATAGTCACTGTCACTCGGTATAAAAAGGTTTCTCAAAAATATAAATAACATGCATACTACACGAGACAAACTTCCACTCACTCAGTTAGTGAAAACACCTAAAACGTACAATCAAGGGAGACCCGGGGAAACATACACTCTGGTGCTGAAGGAGATCCTCTCGGTATAATCACTTGGAAATGAAATCTGTATACACCGAACAAGAATCACGAAGACTGAGCAGAACCTTTGATCCAGCATTTCTATATTGAAGAACGAACCCCAGGAAGTATCTCAAAGGAAGACTAAGCCTTCATTTCCAAGGACATGAATAGCTTTACTGTGCAGAACAGTGTAAAACTGAAATTACCCAACTGCCCGACCAGGAAGTGACCGAGTAAACTAAGAGCAATACGAAGAGAATACGCACCTGCCGTGAGAAAGCTAACCACAACAACACACAGACACGTGGGAAGGTCTTTGTCCAATACTGTGCCACGGAAGGAGCAGAGTATGGAACAACACATAGACAATGACCACAACTCCGCGAACACGAGGGATGCACAGTATGAAATGACGGCAAGTGTGTCTATTGGTCTCCGCCCTTGGTTACAGGCATAGAGCTCCTAGAGTCCTTATAAATTCCTCGGTGACAGGAGAGTCTTTTGTTCTAATGAGGTGACTCCTGGACACTGTTAGGAGGGGGACTGGTCACCAGAGAAACCATGCCAGGAATAGAAGCCTGGAGCTCTCCACCCCACCTCCCACCCTCCTGGAAGAGGGGAGAGGTCGAGACTGAGTTAGTGATGGATCATGCCTATGTGATGAGATGCCCCAACCCCCAAAATCCCAAAAGTCTATGGTCCAGAGCGCCTCCAGTTTGCTGAAGACGTGGAGGAATATAGCCAGGAATTAATAATAACTATACCGTAACCTTTAAAAACTGTCAATCACTACATTGTATACTTGTAACATAAATATTGTACATCAACTATACTTCAGTTTAAATAATATATTGTAAAATACATGAAGTTTTTAAAAAAATTTGAATCAACAAATAAAAATAAATAAACCTAATTACCTCCCTCCCCCACAGAAAAACAATAAATAATAAATAAATAAATAAAATTTTAAAAATTCAGTGTGGAAAAGCATTTTATATGCTGTGTGTGCGTAGCACTATTCTGTGGTTAACTTCTAGTGTGAAGGTGACCAACTCTCTCAGAATTCTTTTAAAAATCAATTATACCAAGAAAGTTCTTCCTTATGAGTGGTAAGCCATTTTCCCAAAGGACCAAAACAGAGAACTCTTAGCCGTAAAATACACCACTTATACGGGAACTGCTGGCTGATTCCTAGCAGCGTACTGGCAGTGTGACCATATGTAGTGCCCTGGGAGGGTTAGCGGGTTTCTGTTTCTTTTCTTCAAAGTTGTTACGGACAAGCAGTGAGGCAACCTGCTCGCCCAAGAATCAAGACCACAAAACACAGGCTCCACGGGGCAGGGCAGGGGCGCACGGAAGTGCGGGCTGGCTGGCAGTCAGGGTGGGCACCCAGGCAGAGCAGGACTCCCTCCCATCTCCTGGTCCATCGGCTGCCTCTTTCCCTGAACAGCAGACACGGGAGAAGCTCCGGGTGGGGGGCCAAAGCATACATATTTACCACAGTTGACTGGGTCCTCGTCAGAACCATCCTGGCAATCCATGTCACCGTCACACGCCCACCGCTGGGGGATGCAGTGCCCGTTGTGACACTGGAAGTTGGAGGCCTCACAGGTGTGGTAGATGGCTGCCAGGAAAAGAGAAGAGAAACTGTCACGGCCTCCCTCACCTCCGCTCCCCCATCAGCCACCGGGGGCGACTGGAAAGTGGGCTGGTACTAGGTCACTGGTATGAATCCAAGTGTCAGCTTCTCCTTGCCCAGGAGGCAGGCATCTGGGGCCGCCCTGAAGGTGGAGTGCAGGCTCGAGTCTCTGGGTTTACACACTTTACACAAGCACATGTTAAAAAATCCCTCAGTTTCCTAACAACCTATGACATAAGGATGATCCAGCTTTCACAGGTGAGAAGCAGGCTCAGGAGACGAAGAAGCCTGCCCACCTTCACAAGGGTAACCGAGTAATAGCACCAGGGCTGCCCAAGCCCGAAGCCTGAGCTTTCTCCACTCAACCCAGCCACTTCAGTTTCTCACTCACCCAGATTCTGCAGGATGAGGTAAGGCAGCGTGCACTCAGGGGACTGCGTTCTAGACCTGGTCCAGCCACTGTGTGAGCGGCTTCAATTTCATCATCTGTGTTGATATCTAAGGGCCCTTAGAAGTTCCAAAGGGCCGTGATTTTATAATTCTAAATAAACTACCCGATTTCAACTATGGAAAAACCTCAGGTCCAAACAGCATAAAAGACATATCCAAAGTCACAAAGAAAGCAGCCTTCAGAACCCAGAACGGTCTCACTTTCTGGACAGTCAAGAGCCACATCCACCAGCCAACAATCCATGGCGTCTACTACCATCAGTAAGAGGGGAAAAAAAAAAAAAGGCAAGCGAAACAGAGTCACTATTATAAATGAACAGGCTCATTTGCATACATGGGCTGAGGCCACCTGGAAGGCATTCAGGAAACATCTCAAAACCTCGGCTAAAGACTGGTTCAAATACAGCGTCTGTCTCAAAGCCAACCAACCCGGCTAACCACCTTCTCCAACAGATTTCCCTTCCCTCCTCTGACACAGAAAGCAGTCTGTCTGTTCATGGCTGAATGAAAGCCAGGACCGCCCTTGTTGACAAACAGCACGAAATAATGTAACCAAGACTGTCGGGCTCTCTGTTGGTTTAACTGTGTGGACAGGACACGTCCTCACGACAGAAGGAGGCGAAACAAACAAAAGCGGGTTGTTGAGTGCAAGCCACAGTTATCTATCCGATCAGCGCGACTCAAGGGTTGGGAGAGTGAGCTTCCGGAGCCCTCCCAGAATTTCTACTGAACTTGAGGCTGTTTTGTTTTTTTTTTGCAATAGCCTAAAATACAAAGCACCCGGCTTTTTAAACCACTTTAAAACAAATGGTGGTCCACTATCTGTTGTCTTATCTTCCCAAACACCAAGGCTATAGCTGGTAGCATGCAAGTAAGTCTACAGGAAGTTTCCATATTTCACAACCTTTGGCACTCAGGATCCATTCAACATCTTGTTAAATATACGTATCCCTGATAAGAGGAGTAAGTGTATCATGCATGTTACGTGAGCTTTGCCCTAGTAACAGCCACTGTCTGGAATACTTTTGACTTATTGGTTTTACAAATCTGACAGCCCTTTAAGCCTTGCTCGCATTCATAAAAGATCCTGTCGCCTCCACACAATGCCCTACCGAGGTCCTTGTCATTATGCAGCCTCCTCATTTCACTTTCGACTGAAAACAATTTCAGAGTGCGAACAGAGCTTCCAAATGACAATCCTGGGAGGCATGTTTGAGATCTCCAGATTCTATCACAGAAGCTGAGCTGAGAAAGACCTAATTAATTTGCACAGTTTTACTCATGTGGCCAGGATGGGACTGGAATGCTTAATACAATCTCTGTTTCTGAATTATTCTGCCTGCTGAGTAACTTACTAGCTCTCTGACATTGAGTGTCTGGTGAATAATACGTGCTTAATTGGTGATTTTTTTTTAATTACAAGGTGGGAAGAGATGGACTTTAATTCAGACTGAAGAATTTGGGGAAGATAAGGAAGAATCCTTTGCATAGCAGGATTCACTGTGACTGTAAGGCCAGAAGGGCTAGTGGGTAAACAAACAGGAAATTAGAATATCAGGGTTTGTAAGAGAGGCCACTCTCCTCCAACTTAGTCTCTGACTTGGGACAGAGCTCTCCCGACTCAGGAAGACCCTCTGCAAAAGGGATTAGCCAAATAAAAGTGGGGCGGAAGAGATGAATTAACTACGTGACAAGAAAAGCACTGCCTAATTATAAAGCACTGGATGATCAAGAAGTGAATGAGGAAAAAGTCATGCTAACATCAACACAACTTGAATGAGTAACAATGTAGCAAAGCCACATAGAGCATAAGGAATAGGATGCTGAAAAATAGAAGGCAGATATGGAAAAAGAACCAAATAGAAATTCTAGATATAAAAAAAATATAGTCCTGCACCTGCACCCCAATGTTCAT